AAAAAAAAACAATTCCAAACAATAGATCACAGATTAATACAAAAGAAAAAGAAAGCATTTACCTTAAAATGTTTCAAAACAATAGCCAATGAAGCCACATAGAGCAGTTTTCTAAACCAGCGCTTGAGTATAACAATTTCCGATGTTTTATCGTCATCATCATCATCATCATCATCTTTCTTCTTACTAGAACGAGACATAAGATGATCACGATATACTCCACTCTCAGCAGCAAATGCCGTAATAATTATTATGGAGGGTAAAACCACAAGAAAAAGATGTGGAAGAACAATCACCATCACATCGGGGAATCCAAAAAATTCAATCTTCCCTGAATCTTCGGTTTTTAAGACCCAACCTTTATAGGTCATGTATGCTTTTTCACCTCCCCGAGTCCAAATTTGACCATAAAACCAAGGGCACAACACAAGGTAAAACAAGTAACCCACTGTTGAAAGCCATGCTAATTGGATATCGTAAAGCTCCATAAATATCCAAGCGAGTCCATTCAAGAATCTTTTGTTGGATCTAAAATTTCTAAATGTATATTGCCTAGTGGAAAAAAAAGAAAGGAATACTTTCGGGATAATGAGTACCGAAAGGCTTAGAAAGTAAAAAACCGAGACTATTGGGAAGTACAAGGAGTCCCATTGACAACCCATCACGAAAAACTCTTTCCAACTCCACGAGAACCTTAAGGGGACACCATTAACCGAAAATGGCCTGATTTCGCTAAAAGTCGAACGATTTCTTATATCTATTGCCTCTATTCGAAGTAAAAATCTTTCGGGAGAAGGGTCCTCGAATGCCCGAATATTCCAAGGTGCAATATAAATGTCGCCACGAGATCCAACAAGCTTAGTCATTGGTGACTCTAGAACAACAACTAGATTATTGGCGCTCGAGTCGTAAATCTTGGCGTAAACCGACACAATCGGAGAAGAAGAGAAAACAAGAGCTCGAATGAACCCACAAGAATAAACATCCGCTTTGCAAAGTTCATAATAGTTTCGCAATGTCGATGAAGTGAAGCGCGAGTCTAAAGGGAAAGTTGGCAATATAATAGTTCTTTCCGCTCCTAATTTGAAATCGGTATCAACGAATGAAATATGACCTCTATCAATAGCTAAAATGCGCATGACTCGATTTTTCCTCCAATCACCGGTTTCCCATTCCCAAAACTCATTGGTCGGTGTCGAAATATCCGAAGTCGTTCGATGACCCTTTAGTTGGAATAGCCGTTTGGAATATTGACTATGATGGTACCGCTTTAAATCCTTACCGAATTTTATGTGCAAATGTCCGCACAAGTAAACGGATAAAGAATTGTTGATGAATATATCCTTTAGTGTCTTTCCAGACTTTGAGGCCGCAGAAAATGAAAGGGGAAAATGCCCAAAGGATATTTTGGTGACTGGTTGAGAAGGTTGCGAATCCCATTGTATGAGTTCAGAATTTATATCTCCTAACAGTTCATCTGTCGGGTGTCCAAACAAATTTGTTGGGCCGCGTAAGCCTTTGGCCATTGTGCTGTCAAACCCAACGAAAAGAATCTTCCTTTTGCTGGTCTGCATTATGCATCAGATTCAGAAATTTCAGATAACGTGATTACTCACACTTGAAATAAACTAGAGATAGTATCCTAAGATATCAATGACCCAGTAAAAAAAAAAAAAAAACTCAAAATGTTTAAAACACCTTATCAAACAAGTACGCGCTCTAGAGGGCAAAAATTTACAAGTAAACAAAACTAAGGGAGCTGTAATTTACAATATGAATCTAGGGGTGTGGCTGGATATGGATTTGATCCAGAAAAAAATAATCATTTTTTACTCAGTCATTTTCTTTTTCAACTCAATTTTAACCAAACCCTAATATCCTCAATATTATCAATATAAGTAAATAATACCAATCAATCATTCTTTTAAATCACATCAACTTTGATTCAGTATTCATCCACTCACATAATTTTAACTAATCATCTCTTTAATTTTTTATTTTAGATATTATTTTAATATAAACTCAAAATCCCACTAACAACTGATCATACCACATTTTTTCAAAATTAACTATGGTTAACAAAAAACCAATCAAAACAAAATCAAATCTATATGCAATCACACCCTAAGTTGGTCTGCAACAAGGCTAAAACTCAAAAGTAGCATTTCAAATTATTCCCATATACAAAAACTGTAGCTTCCACTTATCATATCATTCTCGATAATAGAAAAGAATGGTGCAGCACATAGTTATAAGCCTACAGAAATATCTTGACTTTCAGTTCAGATGGGACAATATTTACAAGTCTCATGTAGAAATTGAAGAAATAGAGAGTCACAAACCTGAATTGTGATGCTATTGACTTTTCCACTTCTTTGTAGTTGCTGGCTAATGCTGTATTTCGAGAAGAAATCGAAGGGCCCACCAACAGAAGGTACACCAAAGTTATCATGGTTGCCACGAACATCATAGAACTTGCTCTTATCCAGCCCACTCCTCTTCACAACATCTCTCATGACTTTATCGTACTCGATCCATTCATCTTCATCTTGTTTCATTGTCAGTAAATCCTTGCTTTTACCATCTGGTGATGCAGCAAAAACAGAAGTCATCAAAGCCATCAGCTAATAAAATTACATATACGTGAATTGCGAAAAATACAAAATTGATCGAGAAGCAATTTCATTGAGCATGGATAAACCAGGTTTCATCTTTATAATGTATATAAGTTCATATACTCTTTAATTCCAAAATAGATGAAGCTAGAAGCTAGTCAGGAAAACAAACACTTCTTCCCACCAACAAAGCACAGAACTATGCTGTGATATTTTTGCTACGGACTTAAAATCCTTTCTGATAAGAAAAACGATAAAAGCATATTCACCATATACGCATACAAAACGAGTCATTATCTAAATCGTGCGCTCTTAGACCAAATGGATGGGATTCAATAAAAGCTTATAAATCAATTACTATGACCCATAAAGGTTAGTTAACTCACTAATGTTATTCATTTCTTATACATTAACGAGGCTTGATGTAGGAAAACATCAATAGATAGATTACAAATAATATTTTTACAGCAAAATGTAATCTTTCTTCGTCATTGGGTTTTCAGTCGAAACAGTCGAAGAAGTTGTACCCTTGCAAGATAATCATACATCATAGTATGATGAACTCAACCAAATGGAAGCAAGAAAATTTCAGTAGAAAATGCGTAAAGCTTTTAAAGTAACCAAATGACAAAGAAAAATGGCAAACCCAAAAGGAAAATCAAAATATCATCCTTAACAAAACAAAAACGATTCTCCATGAGAACCCATCAATTCAAGAACCCACATCATCAAACACTATAACCTCACCAGTGAGGTCGCCGGTGAGGAGGACGAGATCGGGCTTGATGAAGGAGAGTGCGGGCCCCACAAGCTCCCTGAAATCAGCGGCTCTCTCGGGGTGGTGCACGCTGAAGTGGAGATCAGATAGCTGCACCACCCACACAAGATCATCGTCCGGCCCTCCCCCAACCTCGATCGTCTCCCTCTTCTTGCTACCCTCACTCCAGGAGTTGCTCTGCCCGCGCCGGGACTGGTTTTCATCTGAGGGGAGTGACGTGGATTGTTGGGATTGGATTGAACAGAGTGCAAGAAATATTGTGATTGCAATCGCGGCTTCTCCCATTCTCATGGGTCTCTCTTGATTTTGCTGGAAATGTTTTCCTGAAGAATTTACACAAGTAGTAGTGTTTACTTTTTTCTTTCTTTTCTTTTTTTTTTTAATGATAAAATAAAAATACATAATTACAACTACAAGAATAAGTCAAACAGTAATCTCGTTGAATTTCGGGTAAAATTTAGGAAGGATACCCGACAATAACAGAGCATAGAGAACTACGCCAACTTAACAAACGAGCTAAAACTCACACTAAGGGAGAATACTGAGGAGAATAAGTTACTATGAAGCATAATATTAATACTACTCCCATCGACATTGTTGCACGGCGCATCAGGCGCATGACCTTGCGATGCTCGACGACCCGCAGCAAGCATCGACCACACATAGATGACCCGCCAGCGCACAATAGTTACATCAGTGGACATCGGCGACCACCAGCGACCATCGGTGACCAGGAGCCCGACCACAGTCCAACAAGCCCTAGCCGATGTGGAAACAATTGGAGGTGGTAGATGGTGCGGTCTCAAAATCGGGCGATGCAGACGCGATTAGTACACCGACAAGGCGTGACGCGGTGATTGTAGGCGAGACGATACCCGGCCAAGGCGAAACAATTGGAAGTGGTAGATGGTGCGGTCTCAAAACCGTTTCTCTGGCCCTGTTGGTCATGTATGTCTGTATACCTTCTGCAAAAATTTTAAACCGTATGTGTTCAAACTTAAACTCTGGTTCCGCTGTATTTAGGTTTATTTTATAGATGATCTATGACTTGCATAATTTCGACATTCCTAACCAAGCCATAACAAAAGAATTGATCAATGTTGCACAAAATAATCATAACATTCTTCAACAGCAAATCAGAAGTTATATAGGTCCAAGATTTATCAGCAAATATATTTGCTCATCTTTATTGCTTTGTTTTCCTAAGAAACATAAGAGTTTATTGTCTCACTAGGCAATTTCTCCCAAGGCAAAATAGAAAACAGTATATTAGTGAGAATGTAAAATTAGTTGTCAAAAATCCCTCAAAAATAGGAAAAGATAGCCCCAGTCTTTTCAAGTTCAACAAAGTCTTTAGTACTGTAGCTACCCAAGGTTTCTATTCTGACTGGAATTTTGATTACAAAGTCTTTACAAATTTCTTGTCATTTGAAACAATGACTCTATTCATAAGATATACGAGTTTTTTAATATTTTATTGTTAAATAACCATTGCAAAAATATAGCAAAAAATAATATAAAAAATGTGTCATTTCAGCATTTTAAAAAATGCTATAACCTAAATAGTGCACTATTTAAAATAGGAAGATGCCACGATTTCGTTACGAAATCATTCGTTAAGGTTTGTAACCAGTTAGATCAATTATCTCTAACAGTTACATGATGATCTAATGATTAGAAACCCCGACAGAATGGTTCGGTAACAGAGTATAGCATTTGCCTCCGAAACAATGTCCTAAAGCTCCCGACATTTTGGCAAAAATGCACGCTGATAATAGCCCACCTGACCAACCTAAATTACTTTACCCCTATCGCCATCCCACTGCAGCTATGTTTGGTAAAACTAGCTGATAAGCTAGCTGATAGCTAATAAGCTAGATTATAGCTTATATGTAATTTTCGAGCTAGCTTATAGCTTATGACTTATAGTTGAAAAACTAGCTTATATGATAAAAGTGTTTGGTAAAATTAGCTGATAAGCTAGTTGGAATAAAAAATTCAACTAGCTTATTTGAAAAGCTACATGAACAAGCTTATCAAATAAACTCGAACTTTTTAAATAAACTCGTCCTACCAAACGGGACTTATTTGAATAAAGGAAACTTATAAAGCTAACCAAATAAGCTATAAGCTAGTTTACCAAACACCTACATATATCGTCCAGATATTCTCTTCCCCAGAGAAAAGGCAGCCGCATTTGTGACCGGCGAAGAAGGTAAGTGATCAAACACTACCACTGTATGTCATATTGTCAGTTTTATTCAATTTAAATGTTTTCGAATCCAAAATAGATAAGCTTCTTGTGATTTGGGAACGATATATAGGTTTTACATATTTGTTCGGAATCGTCTTCCTTTTTTTTTTTTTGAAATTTTTGAGTTCTCTAGCAAATTGGATCTTCCTGATGTTTATTTATGCTTCCCTTGGCTGTATGTGCTTGAAATTGGGGCTGTAATGGTAGATTTTTGTTGGGTCGTAGATGACGTCACGAGCGCTTGATAAGCATTTGTCGAGGTGAAGTGTGTTTGTAGTTGTGGGGGGTTTTTGAATCTAAGGAGAAAATAACTTTCAAAAAGTGAGTACTTTGCACAAAGGGATTCATATCATTTTACAATCTAAAATGACAAAAAAAAAAAAAAAAATGGTACTATTTGTTAACAGCAGGTAGAAGAAGATGTTTTTGAAAGCAAAAAATGGTTTCGTATTTCTTGGTCGAGGCTTGTGTAACTTCACAGGCTTGAAATGCCTTTCTTCATTTGTACTCTGCAGTTGATGGCCTGCGAAATGGATATCATAACGACGAAGGCTATGTCTCTAGTTGCCAATGAAGGTTCGATGAGATGTGGAGTGTTTTCCAGGCATTATTGTGGCCTGAAGAATCCCTACACACAGAACTTATACAGACCGGCTCCAAAAGTTGATTTAACTTGTCATCGAAAGAGGTGTGTTTCTGCACTTGCTCAATGTATATCTTTTCCTTTATCTAATATGTTTTTTCTAAGTGCATATATATGTTTTTGTTATTTGATCTGTGTGGTTAAGCCACTAGTGACTAAAGAGCAGAGTCAGTAGATTTCAGATAAAACATATTCATTATAATATGGTTATGTTTGGTAAAACTAGTTTATAATCTAGCTGAAAGCTCATAAGCTAGCTTATAACTTATAAGTGATTTTCGAGCTTATAGCTTTTTATATGATAAAAGTGTTTGGTAAAATTAGCTGATAAGCTAGCTGAAATAAAAATTTCAATGAGCTTATTTGAAAGCTCGAGCTTTTTAAAAAAGCTCGTCCTACCAAACAAAGCTTATTTGAATACAGAAAGCTTATAAGCTAGCTTAATTGTCTACTAAACATAGCCTATATCCTTTTTTCAAGGGTATGATTGATAATTTTGTGCTTCAAATACAAATTTTATTTAATCAAGTCAAATAATTGTCTCTTCAGACGTGCGTGGCGAATATCATTTAGTCTCAACACCGAGGGATTGGCAGCAAATAACGAGCAAGGCAACAACAACAACCCAGATGAGGATGCTTCTTCTTCAGGCTTATTAGGGGCGACCCGTTTGGGAAGGATAGTTACTGCAGGGGGTAAGCAGCTGCTCAGCAAACTGAACTCGACCCGTAAAAATTTCCCCATGAAAGTATTTCTATTGCTCTTGGGGTTCTACACGGCTAATGCGCTTGCTACGATTCTCGGGCAGACAGGGGATTGGGATGTTTTAGTTGCAGGCATTGTTGTTGCTGCTATCGAGGGTATTGGCATGTTAATGTACAAAAAGTCCCTCATGGCTGGACGACTGCAATCTCTTGTTGTGATGGTAAACTACTGGAAAGCTGGCGTGTGTTTGGGGTTGTTTGTTGATGCTTTTAAACTAGGCAGCTGA